GTCTTCACTCCAAAATCATCACTGAGCTTCCCATTGTGAATTAAGGCTTAAACATTACAGTGATAATATTATAAGTTAGTTGTCTTAGGGATTGGCCAGCCCTAACACTTAGGTCCTAATCACAGATTAAATTTATCTTCTAACATCGTATCACTACCGCCCAGTTAGCTTTCCCTGTTATACAAAGACCTGAGAGAACAATCGACTTAGTAAAATCAACAGTCTTCACTGGTCTTTTCTTTCAATAATCAAACTTGAACATCATAACAAGGTAACAGATTGAACTAGTTGGACAACACTACCTAAGAAAGTCTCATGAATCATTTACCGATCAGCTAATCAAATGTATACAAAGTAGATAGAAAATGAAAGTTAAACTTGAAAAAAATTAAAGGGTTTGAAGATGATACATATATGCCCCGTTGTCATCGATTCTGAGCCATAACCACAAAGTCTTCAACAATGAACCCTACAGTCAGGTAGGCCATATCCACCTAGACTCTTGGTTGTATTGTGTTCTCTGGAATGAAGTCATTGGTTGTTTCCTTTGATTGTCGTGTTATTGACCGCAGAGATTCACCTGTTGGCGGTTCCTCTCATTGACCTCCGACCTTGCTGTCATTTATCATTCTTCTCATTGGTTGATAGATTGGGTGTATGTCTATTCACCTATTGATTGTTGACTGACTGACTGACTGACTGACCTGAATGCTAAGCTTCTAGGAATTCTCTGATGATGTTCTTTGTGTTTCCTCTCTCTCCATCCAACATTTCTACATTGTCAAAATTCAATTCATGTCCATAGTTGTTATCCACGTGCATTGAGTGATGAGTGACGAAATGTCGTGGCGTTTAATAGCCAATTGTTGCTCATGTAGACGAAGACGAGGAGGGCGACTACTTTGTGGTCTACATGAACGCCTATTGGCTATTAAACGCCACGATATTTCATCACTCATTTCAATGCATGTGGATAACAACTATGGAGATGAATTGAATTTTGACAATGTCGAAATCTTGGAGGGAGACAGGAAACACAGGGAATATCAGAGAATTCCTAGAAGCTTGGCATTCAGGCCAGTCGGTCAGCAATTAACGGATGTATAGACATAGATCCAATCTATCAATCAAATAAGGAGAAGGATGATAAAGGACAGAAAGGTCAGAGGTGAATCAGAGTAACAGACAACAAGAAAATCTGCACAGTCAATGACATGACAATCAAAGGAAACAACCAATCACAAACCACATCATCAGAGAAAGATACTAAATCACTCACAGCTTACTTCATACTGAAATGAGTGCTGATGATGTCGTCCAGGAGAAAGACGATGAAAGCTTCATGATTAAACAACCCAGCTCAGAGAACACAATACAACCAAGACTATCCACCTGAGCTACAAATATTCTCCACTATCCACCTAGACTGTTAAGATCAGTAGTTAACGAACTCGTTGACTGATATTACATCTTGGTTTCACCATTCTTAACCTTCTTCCAACCCTATTCTATTTCAGCTAACACTACAGGTCAAGATATGCTATGGTTTAATATGTGTAACATTTGTGGAAACCATCTCAGTCGGTGAATAATATGGGGATGGACAGAGAAACGTAGTCAGTAGAGCGACCAGGTAAAATATATTTCACGTCATCACGTATACAGTTAGACAAACTGTGGGTCAGCCAATCCACAGTATTATTTTAAACAGCAAACTAACTATATATATGTATTTGATATATTTTCCTTTGTTTTGGGGAGGTTTCGGTTTCTTTTTACTATGATCCTGATGCCAATCAGTATTCGGTGCTTGGTTCAGGAGACTACTTTAAATTAGATTTTGCTGGGCCAACATGATTCCTGGAAGGTACGTCTTCTACTTTAAAAGCTTGGTTCACCTGACCTCGACTAATACTGTAGCATGATTTCGTCGCAGAACCAACGTAATGGCACTTTCAACGCCACAGTCCAGACACTGAATGACATATCTACAGAATATTAACGGCTGGGCAACCTACAGCGTGATACGAGTTCAATCCAGTCCGGATAAGCCAGGGTGATTCTGAAGTACATACAGTTCTCCAGACATCCCATTCCTCTGCATCACCCCCTGACCTTATATCTCACCGGTTCATCGGCTCAGTAACGCATGCGTTACCAACCGACCCTCGAAGAAGACACCCCCGTCGCCTTGGTGGTGTCTAGCATTTCGTCAAACATTGTCCATCTAAACAACATCGATACCGGGATTGTAATGCTGGGGGGCAATAAGGACGGTTTTTGCCACCAACACACATAACAAGATATGGCTATAGATCTCATTTTCGATCGGTAGGTAAATCTTTTGGCTTAAGAGCTGATTTTCATGCTCATGAGCCTGCTTACCGAAAGAATATTGAGAAGACTGCTGATCCCTTAGTAAAAAAAGGTGAAACTCCCTCTGCCTCGGTCAGATAGATGCCCAGTATGACCCCAAATAATATTCTTTCGAAGAGAGAGGTGATATGGGGATAGACAGAAAAGCCTAGTCTGAAAAGAGACCAATCAAAGTGTACTTTATGTTATCACGTCTGCAGTTAGATAGACGGATAGATGGTGGATTAGACAGTCAATGAAGACGAACAGTCATACGAAGACGCTTGTAGTTAACAACCTGTAACCTTTTCATATCAATGAATAAACACATCTCACTGCAGTGTAGTATACTGGTCTCTCAATAGGCAATGAAACATTTCAACGACCGTAGAGATAATATAAGTTGCCAAATACCAAATGAGTCCTTTGTATCTGGGCTGCTACAGCTTCTCAAGTGAACCATTTAACATCTCCTTTAATTAAGAGTGACTGCAGACCAGTTTTTATTCACCACCTTACATTTGATAGGTGGAAAACACACGTTAAACATACTGAGATTTCTGCTGTAAACTTTCAGAAAACCTTGATTTTTGTCAGATACTTTACCTAACCAAATTATGTCGTCTGTGTACTTGAAGTAAGCTAAGCGACCTCTGAGAAGTTAGGCATATCTATAATTGCTTCTACCAGCACATTTATAACGAAGGTGAACAGAAATAATGACAGTGTAAACACCTCTTGGAGGACATCATTGATTATGGTTACTTCAGATAAAGCCTTACACACAGATAAGTTTGAGTAAACTTTTTTGAGTACTACTACATACCTACCTACCTGTTCGATAGTCTTATCCAAGTCAAACACTATCATAACTCCCCATTAGTTAAATACCAACAATACCGACATTGTATCAAATAACCAGGTTGCTATCTGGGAAGAGACCAACACAGATGAAACCAATAAAAGATGAAGAAGGAAATTTAATTACGAAAGAAGAGAAACAAAGGAAACGATGGGCCGACCACTTCAAAAAGCTCTTGAATCGACCACCACCTGCACTTCTTCCAGAAATACCACCTGCAGCCGCTGAATTACAAGTGAACATAAATCCTCCAACGAAAATGGAAGTCCTGAACGCCATAAAGCTACTGAAATGTGGGAAAGCAGCAGGACCAGATGGGATACCGCCAGAAGCACTGAGAACAGATGCAGAGACAACAGCAGACATGCTCACACTACACCACTATTGCAGAAGGTGTGGAAGGAAGAGAAGGTACCTGACGATTGGAAGAAGGGTTACCTTGTCAAACTGCCAAAGAAAAGAGACCTCAGTGTTTGCAAGAACTGGTGCGGAATCACTCTCCTATCCACCCAGAGCAAGCAAAATATTAAGCCGCATCATCCTGGAGAGGCTTAAAGATGCACTGGATTCAAAACTACGACCGGAACAGGCAGGCTTCAGGAAGTACAAATCATGTGCAGACCAAATTGCAACGCTTCGCATCATCATAGAACAGAGCATAGAATGGCAATCAGCTCTCTACCTCAACTTCATCGACTTTGAGAAGGCCTTTGACAGCGTCGACCGAGAGGTAATTTGGAAACTGCTTCAATACTACGGAATACCACAAACCTTTATCCGCCTCATCCAACAACTATATGAAGATGCCACATGCCAAGTAATTCACAATGGACAGCTCAGTGATGCTTTTGAAGTGAAGGCAGGAGTGAAACACGGTTGCCTACTATCCCCCATGATATTCGTGATTGTGGTCGACTGGATCATGCAGCAAACAGTAGGCAGCGAGAAGAGGGGGATACGCTGAACGGCGGAAAAGAAGACAGAGGTGATGAAGATACCGCACTACCACCATCAACAACAACAACAAACTCCAGTCACTATCAACGGGAGAAACTTAAAGGAAGTAACCTCCTTCACTTATCTAGGAAGCACTGTTTCAACTACAGGTGGGACGGACGAGGACGTCAAAGTCAGAATCGGAAAAGCAAGACAGGCGTTCATTAGCCTGAAACCAGTGTGGAGATCTGCACTCAGCATGTGGAACAAGATACGGATTTTCAACACCAACCCAGTCAAGTCAGTGCTCCTGTATGGTTCAGAGACTTGGCGCGTCACGAAAGGGATTTCCAATAAACTACAGACATTCATCAACAACTGCTTACGCTGACTCGCTACTGAAGACCAGATGGATTGCCAGAAAGAATAAGCAACAAGGAACTCTGGGAACGAACCAACCAAGAACCTATCACTCAACAAATATGCAGGAAGAAGTGGAGATGGATTGGCCATGCACTGAGAAGGCCGACTGAGGACATCACGCGTCAGGCCAGTTGCTCGAGTGGAATCCCCATGGGAAGCGACGAGTTGGACGTCCGAGGCTAGGGTGACATGGAGGAGGTCGTGCGAGGAGGAAATGAGAGCTTGTGGACTGTCGTGGGACCAGGTTGAAAAGATCTCAGAGAACAGGATGAAATGGAGACGTGCTACTGAAGCCCTATGTTCCACTAGGAACCCAAGGGACTAATAATAATAATAATAATTAATTAGTAAGTATCCTATAACCTTTATAATTAACTAAAAAATGTTAAATGATAGTAATATGTAAACAATATGAATTATTATATCAATTTGAATATAATTTACCTTCAGCAATTTTTAAGAATTTTTTTTGTGCATCTGGTTCTTTATTTTTATCTGGATGATATTTTAATGCAAGTTTACGAAAAGCTTTTTTAACTTCACCAATTGTAGCTGATTTACTAACACCAAGTACATCATAGTAATCTTGTTCATCAGTTTTACCAAGAATTAATTGAAATGACAAGATAATAAACATTATAGAATATTTGAATATATTCTGCATAGTTTATAATCTATAATAAAATATTAGAAATTATTATTATTACTGGAGAGTTATACTTGATGTATTAAATCCCGACATAAGATCCAATATAACTCCGTGATTATCTCTAACTTGCCAAATATCATATCAAATAATAGAGTAATAGGATGAAAGATGAAGAAATAAAGGAGAACCCATTGGAAAGCAATAGACAAAAAGATGTTGAATTCAGTATAGTGATTAAGATAATATATGGGTACACATTTGTGTTATTGACATCGATTCCTAGTCATATCATTTAGTCTCTAACCATTAGTTTCTGTTATTATGTGTCATGTTTTAAAATCTATCCACCCTGAGCCTATTTTTAGCTTAAACCTATTTCAGGTAATATTTTTAGACAAGGTAAACAGTGATAAGGCATGAATACTGCGTTTCCTAGTCATCTCAATCAACAGTCATTCACAACCGCATTAATTGACTTTTCTCGCCTCCCTAAAACTCTACACCTACCTTCTACGTTACTCATTTGGTGGCATCACGAAACATATAGCCTACACTACGAAGGTGGTGATGGTCAAACACCATAAGCCTCCTCATATTCCCTACCCTTAATGACCAGGAACCTGTGTAAAGGTTAGTGAGTAGAAGTATAATTCCACTGATCCATCCACCCAGGTCAACCTAGGACCAGGCATTACTGCTTAACGGTCCGACTTGCCACATTAAGTAAAAAGGCAGTGAGGAGCAAGATGAAGATAAGAGAATCCACTCAAAAGAAATATAAAGTATGGAAAGAGAGAAACGAAGAATGAGAAAGTGGTGACATTCGGTATAGCATCGTTAAGATGAGGATAATGTGTGTGGGGATACATCTGCACCACTGACATCCGTTCTGAACCATATCACCTACAGTCTCCAACCACTGGTTCCTCTTGTCCCACCGACCCCAACCACCTAGTCTGCATCGCCCCACTCACATGGCTCAAACCAACAGTCGGAGACTTCACGTACTGATCCCATGCTTTAGTCTGGTCACCTCGGGCCTTTTTCCAGCCTGGACCTACTTCAGCCAACATTGTGTGATGAGGCAATCGGCGACTAGGCATACGTAACACGTGTTCCAACCATCTCAGTCGATGAAGGCTCACAACCTCGTCAACCGACTTACCTCTTCTCCCTAGAACTCTTCACCTAACTTCTGCATTACTCACTCACATGGTGACACCACGGAATACAGCCTATACTACGAAGACAATGATGGTCAAACACTTGAAGCCAGCCTTCTCATGTCTTCCATCTTCAATGGCTATGTTTCACAGCCATACAGTAACACAGAGCGGACTGGTGTGCAGTACACGCGACCCTCGGTAGACAATCGGGTATTGTGGCGGCACCATAGATGGCGTAAGTTGACAAAAGCCAAGGCTTTCGCATCCATGCAGAGATTTCACCGGCTACTGAGCCATCAGGGCTGATCCTACTTCCCAGGTAAGTGACTGAAGTAAAAACCTGACTGTTACAGATGTTTTCATTTTTTTAAATGGTCCCTCATTGAATGAATACGATAAAATGTATCTATGACGATGTACAAAAAGTAGGCGAATTATATGAAAACGTTTATCACTAAATTATGACCATCAGTAAGTAACTGCCAACTGAAATAACCCATCTCTGGACACCTATCAGGTGAATATCCGTGAAGTATCCCAGAAAAAAAATAAAAAAATAACGTATAACTTAGGAACTTATCTGGGAAGTTGGATCAGTCCTGATGGGTCAGTGACCAACGAAATCTTTGCACGGATACAAAAGGCTAGGTTGGCTTTTACCAACTTACGTTATCTGTGGCATCGTCAAGATATCCTATTGTTTATTAAGGTTTGAGTGTACTGTGCTGTAGTCTGCTCTGTTCTTCTGGATGGCTGGGGAACATGGGTATTAAAGGTTAAGAGAATATGAGAAGGCTTCAGGTGTTTGACCACCACTGTCTTCGTACTATAGGCCGTATTTCGTGGTATCACCATGTGAGTAACACGGAAGTCAGACGCGAAGTTTTACGAAGGAGAGATAAGTAAGTTAACGAGGTTGTGAACCTTCATCAGCTGGGATGGTTGGAACACGTGTTACGTATGCCTAGTCGCCGATTGCCTCATCACACAATGTTAGCTGAAGAAGATCCAAGCTGGAAAAAGGCTGGAGGCGGCCAGACTAAAACATGGCACCAATATATGAAGTCTCTGACTGTTGGTTTGAGCCATGTAAGGCAATGCAAACTAGTCGGTTGGGGTCTGCGGAACAAGAGGAACCAGGGCTTGGAGACTGTAGGTGATATGGCTCAGAATCGATGTCAGTGGCGCAGATTATCATTATTTGTCCGTTGGGTTCCTAGCGGAACATAGGACTTCTCTAGCACGTCTCCATTCCACTCTCTTATCTGCAGTCTTCTTAACCTAGCTCCATCATCGCCCATTACTTTTCATTTCTTCCTGTCACCCTGGACGCCCAACTCATCGTTTCCCATGCAGGTTCCATTCGAGGACCTGGCCTGGTGCGCAGTGTCCCCAAATGGCTTTCTCAGCGTAAATCCAATCCACTTTCTTCTGCATATTTGTTTGGCGAAAGCTCCTTTGTTGGTTAGTTGCCAGCTAGAGTGAGTTCCTTGTTGTTTATTCTTATTCCTCTAGCCATCCATCTGATCTTCAGTATCGAGTGAGGGTAGGTGGCAGCTGTTGATGAATGTCTGTAGCTTGTTGGAAATGCTTTTCGTAACGCGCCAAGTCTCTCAAATATCACACACAAGCACTGACTTGCTTAACTGACATTAGTTTTGGAAATCCGGATCTTGTTTACGCTTTATGCTGAGTGCAGTGCAGTAGATCCTGGTTTTGACATCCTCATCTGTGCCGCCGTCGGCACCTGTAGTTGAGACGATGCTGTCTAGGCAGGTAAGTGAAAGAGACTACTTCCTCTAGATTTCTCCTGTTAATGGTGGCTGGTGCTTGTGGTTGGTTGGATATCTTCATCACTACTGTCTTCTCTACGTTCACTTGAAGTCCCGTCTTCGCTACCTCTTCTGTCAACTTGTTGGGTTTTCCCTGTAGATCTTCGAGTTTGTGCGACATAAGACATTAGACATAAATCATCATCGGCGAAATACAAATCTTCTAGGTTCTTTTCATCGGTCTAGCGTATGCCTATCTTTTCGCTCCTCACGGTTTGCTGCATAATCCAGTGGAGCACAGTCAGATCAGGAATATCATCGGTGGTAGTAGGCGGTAACTTTGTCGTATTCCTTCCTGCCTTCACTTTAAAGGCACCACTGAGCTTCTTATTGTGTTGTGAATCACTTGGCATATAGCATCCTCATATAGCTGGTGAATGAGGTTGATAAATGTTTGTGGCACTAAAACCGTAGTGTCGAAGCAACTGCCTTTGAAATTACTTGTCGATCGACGATGTCGAAGGTCTTTTCAAAATCGATGAAGTCGAGGTCGAGTTGACTGCCATTCTATCCTCTGTTCTATGATGATGCGTCGCGTAGCGTTGCAATTTGATCCGCAGGTGATTTCTTCCTGAAGCCAGCGTGTTCCGGTCGTAATTTTGAATCCAGAGCACATTTTAGCCTCTCCAGGATGATATGGTTTAATATCTCGCTTGGGGTGGACAGCAGCATGATTCCTCACCAGTTATTGCAAAGAATTAGGTCTCCGTTGTTTGGGAGCTTGACAAGGTATTCCCTCCAATTTGCACGTACCTTTCCTTCCTTCCAAACCTTCTGCAATAGTAGTGTGAGTATGTCCGCTGTTTTCTCTGCGTCTGTTTTCGGTGCTTCTGGCGGGATTAACTGGCACAGACGCATATCCACACCATCCCCATTTTAACCGCTATACTTGATTCCATCATCTCATCCTTCCTTCTTCATCTTCCATTTTATTGCCTTGTTACTTGATATGCTGATGTGCGGTGTGGCAACTTGGACTGTTACGCATTAATGCCTGCTCTCATGGTGACCTCGATGATGATGAATCAATGTTTGAGTCATCATCATCATTATCAACATAGGACCAGCCATTACTGCGTAACGGTCCGACTTGCCACACCTCATATCACTACATCAAGTGAAAAGGCAGTGAACTGCAAGGTGAAGATAAGTGAATGCAGTCAAAAGAAATATAAAGTACGAGAAGAAAGGAAAGAGGAGTGACAAAATGGTGAGATTCGGTATAGCGTTGTTAAGATGAGGATAATGTGTGTGGGGATACATCTGCGCCACTGACTTCGGTTCTCAGCCATATCACCTACAGTCTCCAACCACTCGTTCCTCCTGTCCCGTGGACCCCAACCACCTAGTCTGCATCGTCCTACATGGTTTAAACCAACAGTCAGAGACTTCATACATTGGTGCCATCATTTTAGTGGTGAAAGTCTCAACTTAATTGGAAAAATATTTTTGAAGTTTTATTAGTCTGCATTGTCGTATGTTCCTAATCTGATGCTTTGTTAGTACAAACAGGGAACTATTAGGCAGTTTTTGTGCCTAGTGACAATGGTTTTATAGCTTTACACAACACGCTGTTGTGCAGTATAATCTAGCTGCTATCAATGAATTATGTAATTACTTATTAGTCAAACAAGGTCCTACAGCGACTGAATGTAGACTACTTTATCCTAGCCTAAAGAGAAACTTGAGTCTAGTAAGCTGGCTGAAATCAGTTGCCTGAAATCAAAATCAGGCAAAAAAGCATAAATTTCTCCGTTTTTTTTCTTCATCTAGTTGATATGCAATATTTATAAGTGATGTTTTAACAACAACGATCAAGTCGACCTAGAGTGAATCTGGACTCTACATAGTAATTAGTGACTGAAAGTCCCTACCCCAACCAAGTGAAATCTGGCTCCTCAATGAACACTTTTAAAGATAAAATGGATTTTTACGGCGAAACATGGTGTATGGATAAATACAGGCTGTATTACATTTATTACTCGAAACTGAGACGATTAAAAACTATCCAATTTAA